TCTATCTATCTATCTATCTATCTATCTATCTATCTATCTATCTATCTATCTATCTATCTATCTATTTATCTATCTATCTATCCAGGGTTTCACTGTGTAGTCCTAGCTGGCCTGGAAACTTGATCTGTAGACTAGTCTGGCCTCAAACACACAGAGATCCTCCTGACTCTGCCTCCCGAGTACTGACATTAAAGTTGTGTGCCACCAGGCCAGGCTCTGTTATTATTTGAGATTCTTAGTGAAGCCTGTTCCCAGGCTTCTGTAGCTCGACATTTCCCAGCATCTAAAACTGAGATACAACTTCAGTGACAACCAGAATGTGTGCCCCTGCAATGCCTGCCCACTGCTTTAAGCTGAAACAGTTCTTCCACACCAACCAGATAAATATTCATCTACATTGTCGTCCAGTTTTATGGTTTCATCACTTGCATTTCTTACATCTATCTAGAAACTAGTCTGTATTTTCAACATCACCCAAAGAATAACCCAAATCAAAAATACTGGTTCACACTGACAAAATATGGAAATATTAACTAATTATGAAAAGTTTCCAGAAAGCAAAATTATTATTGTCTCTACTTACTTCAAAATAATATTTTACAAAGTAAAAGTATTTTTAAAAACAAAATAAATTGGGGTGGGGGGAGAAAAGATGGCAATGGGGCAGGAGATCCACTTTGGCTAAAAATCCAAATTAATAAATATTTAAGAGTACTGACTACTATAGTTGGTCTTGATGATCGTTTTGGTCGATGATTAAGTAGTATATCAACAGCTCCCACTACTTCAGAGTCGATTGCCACCAAAAGTGCATCTGCGGACTTTAAAAAAATAAAAGTTAAAATGAAAATGGAAGATAAAAATGTAAACTATTTTTACTAATTCATGGTTATTTTAAAATTCTTCACACTGTATTATATACAGTAATATTGGATTTTAAAAAAATTTATATTGTCCACGTAGTACATTTGCTTGCCAAAATCAGTAGTACTTCTATGTACCACAACATAAACATTTCTGTCCTGGTTTCAATGCACAACCTGGTAAAATAATGACTATTTCACAGAAGGGACTCTACGTAGAACAGTGCTGATTCATGCAATGTTTAAAGTTAAAAAAAAAAAAAAAAAAAGCCCAAAAAACCTTCAAGATGTTTTCTCTTGAACCATGGACCAAAAATTCCTTAAGGTTCTAAATTTATTAAAGAAATTACCAGGAACTATTAAAGGAATGTGTTGGCTGTGACATCATCAGCGCAATTCTCAGAAGAGGGAAGAATGGAAAATATATAAAAGCCCTCTCTCTGGTCTCCTCTTCAAAACATGCATGGCTGACAGAAATGGTACAGTTTGACGTTGGTACCAGCGCTTGTCACATGGAAATCACAGAGAATCCAGTTACCAGTTGACAGCGTCAGGAAGGAGTTCCCAGTTCTAGTCAACCTACTGCGGAGATGGACTGACCAGACCTGACCCTACAGACTCGGGACTCGGGGCTCTGCACTTCTCCCTAACCACGCCTGCGTGCTACTGGCAACCATGACACCGGGTTTTGGCTTCTTTGCTTTTGGTTTTTTTAAGGAAAACCATACTAGGAGAAGGAAAATTTAGTAATGAATAATGATTTAATCAAAGAAAACACCGTGATTATTTTCAGGCTGTACATTTGTAACTGACATAACCTTTACTATGTCAGCATTCTTGCCCCCAGAAATGAAACTACAGCAGATCCAGAGCATTCTTTATAGCTGCACAGAATAAAGCTTTTACTCTCCTTATCTGAATGTCAAATAAGACTAGAATGGCAGGCTTTAGTGCGATGTTGAAAATCATATCCGACAACCCAAAGAAAGGGCTGGGATTCTCATTAAACTCTTAGGAATCACCTATGTTTTCCTGTAAAAAGCTTCCTTGCTACATGGGACATTTAATCCCTTGACTATTTTAGAGTTCATTAGATATGGCCCTAAAAAGTGCAAGCATTTTTTTCTTTTTTAGCTTCACGTTTTCCTTCAGCTTTAGCATACTCAGTCAGTTGAAGCACACAAGCTTTTAAAAACAAGAACTCAGTATCAAGTATTACTAGATATTTATCTACAGTTTTAATTTTAACCATTAAGCTAGCTATTGTAATGCCACTGCTCTCAAACACCATGCAATTCTAATAATCTAAAGTCTAGCCATGAATTTATTGACAACTCAAAACAACAACAACCCAAGTCACAGAGTAACATCATGGGCATTATGTCCCAGGAGAGACAGGTCCCTAAGTGAAGGGCAATGGCTTTCCCAAGTATTCCTCATAGCTTTACTGAATAAAAGAACAGCTACAATAAAACCAATACAAATGGAGAAAAGAAGAAAAAAAAACTAAAAGCTGACCACAGAAAGAATAAAATACCAGTAGAACAAAATCACTATCAGAACAGCAATCTGCAGACTTTAATGCAAGGACAAATTATTAATAATTTTGGACGTCAAGAAGCGAAGTAAAATGATTACATTCTCAAGAATTCCAACTAAGGATAGTAAAGTTAAATTATATTCAGACACACTACTCAGTAAAAAATAAAGATGTATGTTAATATTCAATGCTTAAAAGGATAAGCTTCAGCTATGAAAAGTATTTATATTAAAAAACATGTAATTAAATTAAAGAGTGGCCATTGACTCATTCTATATAAATGGTATGTTATTTGATAAATAAATGGCAGTTTTGAAGGAAAAAAATTTTAATTTTTAAAAAATTAACTTATTTAAGACATAGTCTTAAAACCAGACTAGCCTTGAACTCATGTTCCTGTTTCCTCAGCCCCCAAAGTGTTGGGATCACAGGTGTGTGTCACCACACCCAATTTAGAGTATTCTTAAATACTTGCAAGCACACAAAATTTCCTCACTCATTTTTATCTCCCAATTTCTAAGTAATCTGACCATTCTCTCTAAAGCATATTCAGCACATACACTTACTGTATAATGAAGTCACTTCCTTCTCATCTCAGAACTTGCCCAGCAAGTCAGTGTGAGAAGATATGCATATTTCCTTTCTATACCTAATTTCCACTTATAGTATATATTAATGCTCTGGAATATTCTATAAGAACTTGGTCCTTCATACACAGGAATATTAGTCCCACATCCCACAACTTTAAATTCTTCTCTTTTTGCTAATTTAACTTGATCTTATCTTTCTATTTTCACTAAATGTTTTCTTATTTATTTCACTGTTAAAATTCTCAAATTAATGTTCATCATGTTCCCTAAATCTTTCAGTACCATACTTTCAAAATCCAAGAGACTTTCCCTCTCTTCTCTCGTATCTTTATTTCTAAGCAAGAAATTAAAATTTCCCTTTTGACTTTCACACCACCATTCTAACTGACCCAAAATTGTGAATAATTTATTTGATCTTTTAAAATGCAACTCTTTCCTTCCAGTGTCCTTTATTAAATGTAAAAATTCCTGAAGAATGAATCTGTGCTAGCTCTATGTTCTGTGACTGCTGCCCTTGTGAAAATATACAGGGCCATCTTCCTGCTTACAATACCTAGAGTGCTGTGGCCATTGTCCGACAACTCTCAAATAAGTTAAGTACAGCTAAGACCCGGAAACTGGATCCCTCTACATCAAGGCTAACCTCGCCTCCGAGCTTGTTAGTTTTCTCTCCTCTCTCCTGGTTATACATGGTTAAGATTGATAAAACCCCAGGACTCCTCAATTCCCCTTCTTGACAGCTTTTTTTTGTATCTGTGCCCCCTCCTCACCCTCCACACACAGGGTCTCAGACATGTAAGACCAGGGTTTACCAGAAGCTATACTCCCAGCTCCTCCCTTCCCACAGCTGCTGCCGCCCTAACAGCCAGTCTTCCAGGTCAGATCTTACTATTCATACGGAACCACTACAAAATGCTCACACGGGCTAGCGCCTTCCCTTCCTTCCTAGTTTTACCTAACTGGATCACCATATTCATCTATCTAAAATACCACAAGACATATACCATACTTCCTATCAAAATGCATTGAATGAGACCTCACTGTCTATTACATAAAACACAAATTCTCAGCCTCCCATTCAAGGCCTTTTCACTAGTTTTATTTTAGGTATTTTTCCTGACATTTTCCATTATATTATAAGCCCAGTATTTTATTCTAAAGGCTGTGGATTCACTGTCTCAAGAAACATTTCACATATCTGTTTACATTCTTCTCAGCATCCCCGGTCCCTTAACTACTTCTAAGCTTTTGAGTAGACTTGGGTAACAGGAAGAACATGGACTCTAGAGTCAGAACCTAGGTGCAGATCCCAAGTTTACCATTTACAGAGTAAATATGGACAAGTTACTTAATCTTTCTCAAGATCAGGAAGTCAAGTCCACTGGCACAAATCAGCACAATATAAATGTTAGTAATATTAATATTTCTTTTTTTATTTTAAAATTGTATTTTATGTGTATGAATGTTTTGTCTGCACTTTTGTCTGTGTGTCACATGTGTATCTTGTAGCTGCAAAGACCAGAAAGGGGTGTTGGATCCCCTGGAACTAGAGTTGCATACAGATGCCTGTGAGTCACCATGTGGATATCAGAATTGAACCATGGTCCTCTGCAAGAGCAACAGGTGCTCCTAACCACTAAGCCATCTCTCCAGCCAAAATTAATACTTCAAGGCTGGGCTCAATAGACACTCTTCCAGTCAAATCCTTCTTAAAAATTTTAATAGACATACTTTTAGGCTCAGTGGTAGTGGTGAATGCTTTTGTTCCCAGCACTTGGGAGGCAGAGGCAGGAGGATCTCAGAGTTGAAGGCCAGCTGGTCTATAGAGCAAGTTCTAGGACAGCCAAGGATACATAGGGAAAACCTGTCTCAAAACAAACAAACAAACGATGCACTTTTAATTACATGGATGGTGATCAATAATCGTGTGTGAATGCAGAGGCCAAAGGCACCAGTGCCTCCTGGAGCTGGAGTTATGAATTATTTGATGTAGGTACTAAGAACAGAACTGGGGTCTTCTGTAAGAGCAGCGAGTGCTCTTCACCATTTAACCATTTCTCCAGCTTCAATACAGTAAAGAAAAAAGTCCCCTCCACCTCTCCATTGCTAGGTATCAAATGCAGAAACTCACACATGCTAGGCAGAAACCTAGTTTTCTTGATAGCTCCAAACCATAATGGTCTTGTTATTTTTTTTATATATATTGATAAAATATTTATGTTGAGTTGCAAAAAAGTTTAAGCATAAACTAGAGCTTCTCAAAGGCAGCTCCATTGACATTCTGGGTCACATATGGTTTTGGTGGTGTTGTGGTACCTTTCCTGTGTATTGTAGGGTGTTAATAACATCATGGCATCTACCCACTAGATACCAACAGTAATCTGCCCATCAACTGTGAAACCAAAATGTCTCCAGAGACTGCCAAATATCCCTTGGTGCAGGCAAAGTTGTTTGTGTGAGAGGCACTGAGATAACCCAAGATAAAACAAGAAGCATTTTGTAACTGTAAAGCAATATACAAGCATCAAGCATTGCTACCCTCAGCACTTAACAAATACAACCTTCTATTTAAATTCCTTTGTAGTCCATATGTGCTTTCGCTCTCTCAGTTCATTTTACTGTCTACTGGTGAATACGTCATATTTTCTCCACTCATTTCCACCATCACACTCAGCTAAAGGTCTTGGACATTTGTTGACTGACAGAAGGAGACACAGGTAGCTTGGAGAGAATACAGAGAACTGGAAAGAGCATAAGGGTTTGCAGCCAAAAGATTAAATTCAAACATTATCTTTGCCTTTACTAATTTTACAACTCTGGGCAATTCATTAAAGTCTGTGAGCCTCAGTTTTCTGATGTATAAAAGATAGCATCTAGACAATCTGACTGTGATGCTCAAATGTAATCAGAGTGTGAAAGAACCATGTGTACTGCAGAATTATGTATATAAAGCCATATATGTAAATGCAGTTATTATACCACAGCAATTCTCACCCAAAATCATCAAGGACTGAATTCCTTTATAATCTTATTTTCTAGGTAACTGAAGCTTATGCCTTTAAGTGTTTAACTTTAAATTTTAAATAATTTTGATGGAAGTTTTCTGCTTAAAAGGTATACATACACATATGTACTTTCATCTAAGCTGTTAAGTAGTGAATATAATTTAACTTTTCCTTACTGATGCTAAATCACTGTCATAAAGCCTAACCACCAGACAGACACGGTGCTAACAATCTCTAAGTAAACAATGTGAGCACTCCCATGCTTCATTTTGCTCAGCTGCAGCTCTAATGCCCCTTTTATGGCCTTTCTTGATTCTCTTCAGATCAGAAAACTAAAAAATTAAGTTTGCTAAAATGAAATCTAAAATGAGAAAAAGTTGACTTTGAAGGAGAAGTGCTCTACAACTAAACCTAACCTAGAAACGTCAAGGAAATTACTACGGCAGCTCACATCTCATTTAGTTACTTGATGTACTATAGGTATAGCTAAAGTGGCTGGGTACCCAATTCCCTTTTCTACCCCAAGTGTGTGTGTGTGTGTGGGGGGTGTACTTATATATACACACATATACATATAAATCACTCACAATACCACTTTATAAAATAATAGGGATGTACCTAAAACCACCTACCATACTAAAAAACCAAAATGCTGTGCTTCCTGATGTCACTCCAAAAGCTATGCCTCATGACAGCTGCATCAGAAGGACCAGAGTTCTTATGCTATGTTTCTCATGAGTGAGCCAAAAGGGAAAGGAAACGATGCTATTATTAACTTAGACCTTCCAGACGTACATGTCTGCTCTTCTACCTTAGGTGACATGAAGACAAATGGAAAGTTCTATCAGTTCCAGTTTTAAAACAAATCATTCATCTTTAGATGAAAGCAAACACTACATTTCAAACAAAGAGAAAACATAATAAAACTTAGGAAAACCAAATCGAACTGTAAGTTGTTTTGTGAGGAACATTTTGTTCCTGTGCCTATAAATAACACGGGTCACAGAAAACCCTGTCCCCTGGCATTTCTAGAACACTTGCACTATTTTTAGGTATGTAATACAAATAGTAATCCTATCAGTAATAAAAATAATGTCATCTTTAGTAATTCATGATAGTTTACTTTCGTCTGATGTAGGGAAAGGAAACAGGAAGAAAAACACGAATTTAAAATATTACGTTCTTTAATAGCTTATTTGGGTTTGTTTTGTAAACTTCTTAGTGGCTCAAAACCAAACAGAAGGTGAAAGGCAAAGGCAGGAGAGTAAACAAAGGAAAGAAACAGAAAGGAAGCAGGAGGGAGAGGTGAAGGCAGGCATAGCTAACATTTCTTAGAAGCTACTGGATAAAATCATCTAGCCTTGTACCTGACAACCGTAGTCCAAAAGCAGCTGCAGTATATCCAAGCTTTCGTTTTCAATAGTTATGGTAACAGCATTTCTCCCAAGCACATCTACGCAATTTATGTTCAAGTCACCTGAACTGTTTTCCTCCAAAATCTTTTTAACCATATAATAGTCACCTAAATAACAATATACAAACATACTTTAATATTTAAGACAGTAAACACGAATGAGTATAAAGAAAATTTTTATCCTGCTGAATTAAAAGATTAAAAATACCTAAACTCATTTTTGCTTTGCATGTGGACATGTGCACAGAAAATGTGAACATTTCCTGGAAAAAAGTCTATCTTGATAAAATAATACACATATATGCAGTAAATATAAAACACAAGTAGAAAAAAATAAATGTGTAGTATGTAATAAAAATTTCTAGTTTAAAATTCTTAACTTGATGTTATAAGGAGAAAAACTTATAGAAGATATATAAAACAATTTAATAAAGAATACCCCAAAATACAGGCTGACAGCTATTATAGAAAAATAAAATGAAACTTAGAAGGAATTAGTTTTGGATCTCAGACACACACATCTACTCATGCATCATATTGGTTAAAATGGAGACGGGGGTAGACGATATACGTACTGTATAGTAAGGGTACCTAAAAGTCCCTATCCCCTCCCTCTCACAAACATGTGTGCACACATGTGCACATGCCGTCCTGTTAAGGAAGGTGAGGTGGAGTGTTAATAAACAGGGAACACCCAGCTCACAAAATGCCACGTTAGGACTAGAATGACTGCTTGCCTGTCTTCTGCCTGACTGAAGGCCACCACAGCACAGTCATCCCATGGGAGGAAAGCAGGAGTTACTGTAACTAAAGGCGCAGTGTATTTGCCTGCTAGTGAGATTGTGCAGGGAAAAAGAAAAAGAAAAATCCAAAGAGAAATGCTCACTAGAGAAAGAAAGCAAGGGACACGTTTTATTTTACTTTTTAAATACAAAAATGAGTAAACTGTTTTTCATAGTTATTCCTTAGATGCCTGTGAGTAAGAAATAGGGAAAGAATAATAAGAGTGGAAACTGGAAGGAAAAAGAAATAATTGCATGGTACACAGACAGAAAACATTCAATTCGACTAAATGAATAAAGAAAACAATATTGCAACTAAGATAACAGATTTTATTTGTGAAAAATTCAGACTTACTATTTTTAATACCTGCTTACATTAAAAAAAGAAACTGAATAATAGTTTTCTTAATAACACATCTTCTTAGGTCTCAAGAATAAAAAACTAGTCATGAAATAATTTCCCCATAGCACTAACATTTAATTCCACTGACGAAGTGATGTTCTTAGTCTTGAGCTGTGCCAAGAGGGCCAAATAATCCACTCCAATGACATCACTATTGCTAAAAAAATACTTAAAACTATTTCAGACACATTTAATTTTAAGCATAAGGATAAGAAAACACTACTCATAAAACTCCGCTTTGTTATCCTGATATATCTAGGTGAAGGTCATTCATTTGAATTCACTTTCTTGGAACTCTATAGGCTTCCTAAATCTAAGGTCAATGTGCTTCATTAATTCTGTAGTATTTTCAGCCATTACTTCTTAAGTGTCACTTCATTACTAAAGTTTATATCTGCAAGTCATTTAAACTGATATGCTGTAAAGACTAGAACAGCTGCTAACTGTGAGGATGAACGCATGTGTGAAAAGGTTAGAAAACTTAGACAGACAGGAGGCTAGCTAACAGCCCAGATGCGAGGCAAAACACCTGCTAAGCCAGATGACGTTTTCTTTCATAATGAAGTTGCTTGCAAGTCGTATCTCTTGTTTTTCGAAAAGCAATATAATTTGCTTATTTTTGTGATGGCATAGTTGTTTTTAAATTTCATTTTTGATTGTGTGTCTGTGGGTTTATGTGTGTGTTCCTGTGTGTGGGTGTACGGAATGTGGAGGCTAGGGGTCCAGGTTGGGTGTCTTCCTCTACTGCTCTCTACTCCCCCACCTCCTGGACAGGCTTTCTCCCTGAGCTCAGAGTTCACTGACTGGCTAGACTGGCTGCCACCCAGCTCCATGGATTCGACTGCCCAGCGTTACAGACTTATATCAACACACTCTGCTCTTTACATGAAGGCTGGAGATCCAAACTCTTCATGTTTCCAGAGCAGACACTTTATCTGCCACCCTAAGCCCCTAGTTGTCTTTGTTCAACAAATAAAACAGAAATGTTTTCAGTTTATCCATAGGCAGTGCACCAATGCAACAGCAGGTCCTCTCAGTCCGACCTCAAGTACCTCCCATACTCATTCACCTGTCGCTGTGAACACAGCTAACCCTCAGCCAAACCATTACCAAGCCTTTTGGACAGTGCAACAGCCTCCTAACTGATACACCTACTGAAAAAGATCTTCTCTTTGACCAAATCCTAAGCAAGCTAATGTTCTCCTTTCCCCCATGAGGCTTCAATCTTAGCCCTTAAGACATGAACAAAACATTTCCTTTAACACACTTTCTAATAGCCCTAGGCTGCATCACTAGCATGGTCCTGTGCAAATAGATGCCTGAGGAAAGTCGTGGCTCTTAGTTCATTTGAACACTGAAGACAGGGCCATTTATGGGCCATGTGAAATGACAGCCATTTAACTGCTTTTGGCGCCAGCTAACAAATCCACACTAGTTTCACATAAATCAACCGTGCACTTTTTGTACATTTCCCCCGCTGCTTTATAATTTTTCGCTGCCCTGACTCTATGGAACCCCTGCTCACACTCCTCTCCAACCCTTTAAACTAGCTGCTTCTGTACAAAATGAACTTGGATTCGGTTCACACTGGGCTCTGTTCTGTATTATTACTCATACAACACTTTCTACTTTAACACCGGGGGTCAACAAAATAGTTCTGAGAAAGGGCCAGACAGTGAAATATGCTGGGTTTTGTGGACCATGATATCTCAGTCACAATCACCCGAACCCTTTGCCACCACAGCAGGCACGGACCTATGGAAACAACTGAGGGTGTGTTCCAATAAAACCTTTTGAAATTTACAGAATTTTTATGTTTTAAAATACCCTTCTTTTAATTAGAAATATTTTTAAGTATTTGAAATGTAAAATGTAAAAGCCAGTCTTAGCTCACAGACTAAATAGCTGGATTTAGCTTATGGATCAGTTGGTCACCTGTTCTAGCCTTACCTCTTCAATCCATTCTGTAAAATTCAAAGCATATCAACCTTATGATTCCTAACATCCTCAACGGACATAATTTTTACCAAGTTCTATAAAGCCCACTGGAAACTGGGCCAGCAAATAAAATAGTATAAAAAATACCACGGTAATCCCAGAGATCCTCAGCAATAAATTCACTCTGCCCAACTCTGAAAAATCCTTCAGAGACATACAGTAGAGAAATGTTACAATAACAGTAAAGAGGATTTTCTATTTCCTTGCTGGCTTCTCATTTGACTTTCTAACATCTGATGATAAATTTCATCATTTATTTGCTACATGTGGTGGTTCATGCCTATAATTTCAGCACCCAGGAGGCAGAAGCAGAAGGATTGCTGCAAGTCTGAGGCCAGCCTAGGTTACTCACATATCGAATTCCAGGCCAAACTGGACTATAGACCAAGATTCTGTCTAAAAAAACCCGACCCCCACAACTCTCACAAAAAAAGCTGACCAGTTTTTAAACTTTATATTAACCAAACAGAATTTATATTTAAAAAATTATAAATCTTTTCAAACCAAACTTTCTTTAAAAAAAAAAAAACCTTTGGATGTGGAATTATAACATTCTACATAAAATATTCCCAATTAAGCCAGGTGGTGGTGTCCCACACCTTTAATCCCTGTACTCAGGAAGCAGAGGCAGGCAGATCTCTGAATTTGAAGCCAGCACGGTCTACAGAGAGAGTTCCAGGGTAGCCAGGGCTACACAGAGAAACTCTGTCTCAGAAAAAATAACATATTCCCGATTAATATTAAAAACAGATTAAGAGGAAAAAGCTTTGGAACCCAAAGAAATTCTACTGAACTCATAAATCATTGATATGGTACTGGAAACTTTTAGTCCTAATCATTCACTTTGGATTTTTAATGTTATCATTTATTACTTCTAAATAATATTTGAATTTCTCATTCCCTGCATTACAATATTACTCCTAGTCTTAGACTTCTCAGCATCACAAAATCTGATGGAATCAGTCTGAAGAAGACATTTATAGTACTATAAAAGGGCAAGAGAAGCTCGGATCGCAACAGTGCTGGTGCATTCAGAGTTAACCTTTCAGCCTTGTAATACATAATGGACTGAGGTTTCCCTTGGATCATTTGTTCTTAACTTCCCAGAAGAGAGAGAGCTCTGTACTAGGAATATCCTATCTTCCAAATCTCATATGGGAAATGCTGTGGGATGGTCTGTATGTCACATTACTCGGATTGGTCAATAAACAAAATACTGATTGGCCAGTGGCCAGGCAGGAAGTAGGTGGGACAAGGAGAGAGGAGAATTCTGGGAAGCAGAAGGCTGAGGCAGAAAAACACTGCCAGCCGCTGCCATGACAAGCTGCATGTGAAGACACCGGTAAGCCACAAGCCATGTGGCAAGGTATAGATTTATGGAAATGGATTAATTTAAGCTATAAGAACAGTTAGCAAGAAGCCTGCCACGGCCATACAGTTTGTAAGCAAAATAAGTCTCTGTGTTTACTTGGTTAGGTCTGAGCGGCTGTGGGACTGGTGGGTGACAAAGATTTGTCTTGACTGTGGGCAAGGCAGGAAAACTCTAGCTACAGGGAAATTTAAGTTAAATTGAACATTTGCTCAGAAAGATCTATTATATACACAAATATACATCTTTTTACCTACTGTTCCTTACTACTGCACAAGAAAACATCTTTATTATAAAAAAATTCCTAAAGAATATGGATGTAGTCGGTAACTCATTAATAACTGCTTTTTGCCCAATGCCTTAACACAATTAAGAACTTCATGTGTATATTTTGATAGCATGGCAAAGAGCAGCAAATTAGAAATAAGAAAAAGAAACACACTGTGAGATCACTACATGAGTCAGTAAGGCAGCTAGCTGCTCACTCATCTTTCATTAAAGTAACTGTGAACCACTCCCTATGGCTATACTTTTCAACTAGTACATTCTAAAACTTGGGTGATTTACAAAGATTCCCTGTACAGAATGCATGGGTTCTGTAACTAGTGATACTTTGTGAGCTGTAGAGAACGATGCCTATAGTAACTCCAATACTCTTGATGCTAATTATGCTCTCATCAGCCCTCCTTTCTGCAAATTATTTTCCCTCATCGTACATATCTTTATATTAGGTGCTGCCTATCTACACAAAACTTCTCAGCAACACTTGGTACTCTGCATTTTAATTATCCAAACCACTCTCCTCTCTAACCTGACACACCCTCCAAATTTCTTCCAAATAGCAAAAATAGAAAGAAAGTACTATATAAACATATTAAGTAAGGTGTTAATACAACAGTGGCATATCATCTCGAGGAAATGTTGCACATTTTGAAAGCATCCTGGGCCCCAAGGTACACAAAGCTTCTACAGAACTTAAAATAACCTTCCTTATAATGTAGCAAGCCTTCCACAAAGGTGACTGACAGACACAAACAAGGATGAATCCAGGGGTACAGGTGAAATTCTGCCCTCCCATACCCTCTCTAACTCCATAGTGAAATGTCCAGAAGGGACTACTAATGAAAATATGAATTTTCTGGAAATACTCCACATGCAGCATTGGCAGAGAGCAAATACTTTCATTCTTCCTTATTTGGCATAAGCTCTGATTACTGACATCAACAAATCAAAAAGCTTACGTTCACGAATATGTTTTAAAGGTATCTACCTAACACTTTAAATGAGAAAAAAAATAAAGACTTATACTTAAGTTTAGTGCTCCTAAAACATTATTTATCCATTCAGCAGCCAAGAGGCCTAAGGGAATCATAGGCTTCCACAAATTAAATAGGGTAATTACCACACTAACTCTCAATAAGAGAGGAAAAAAGAAAAACATGGTGGTCTACTTAATATTAATAAGACAACTCATTTATTGTCAGCTCTTGCTCAGTTAGCTTTTGTATCTGGATTTCAACCTCTTTGTCTAAAAGATATATATATATGTATACACACACACACACACACACACACACACACATATATATATATACTTTGAAAGAATTTAATCTGGTAGGTTTATATTAAAACTGCTTTATATCAATGGAACAGAAACTTTCAATTCATTTTTTATTTTTTTAATACAAAAAAGAACCATAGGTTAGCTTTGAGATGATTCTGGTCTATTTTGATGACCAGGTAATCGGCAATTACCTAGATTTATGGAATTAATTTACATAAAGGCTAGTTATTCCAAACCATAAAATCTTTCCCTTTCCTATTTTGTTTACTCCCTCATCTGTACACTACTCATTTTAAATGGCCATTCATTCACTAAAATACATACAACCACCTCATCTCTGCAAATTTTCTTTTAGGAATCTCTAGCTTTTAGAAATCTCTAGCTTTTATTTTAGAAGACTATACTATGAATACTTCATACATGTAGAAATGATTATTAAATGAAACTAGTTGAGTTTCTCTGGGGCTATTAAAGATACCATGCTTGCTTTTTAAATTTACACAGAAAACAAAGTTTATAAACTACCCATACAGATAAGAGTTAATTTCCAACTAGTACATCCAAATATGGATGCCTTTTCTAACATAAATTATTTTAATTCTTTCAACTATAATCAGATCAATAAAGCATAGTGATGACTTGACACACAAGCACACACAGACACACACATACACACACACAGACACACACATACACACACAGACACACACACAGACACACGCATATATATATATACATATATACATATACATATACATATACATATACATATACATATACATATACATATATACACATATATCTCAGATCCCTGTTTTCAGGTAGGTAGGTAGGTAGATAGATCTCAAGCTGCTTAAACGGGTACTTATGGACAGTTTATAAAAATTTTATAATTAAAACTCCTTTTGAGAAATCTCATGCAACCATTCTAAATTTATGTATCACAAAAATACTTACTCCAATCATATTTCATTACAACACGTCTCTATTCTCAGTTTGACAAGAATATCAAATTCCCTTTCCTAACGTACTTTTAAATAACCACACAATTAACTAGAATATATCAATGGTTCTTGACTTCTGTAATACAACACAACCATTTCCTTTCTCCTTTTGGGTAGTTTTTGAGGGAAACAACTTGGGCAATGCACTTGGGTAAAATTACGTACTTTATATCATCCACAGATCATAGTTTTTGTGACATTTTAGACATATGTTTTATATTTCTTTATATTTCTAAGATTAGTAAAAGAAGTCTATGGTAGATTTTAACAAATGTTTACTATTTAATATTATCACATAAATCATAAAAGTGATTGGCAATAGACATAAGTGGACTTTGTTTATATGTCAATGTGTTTTCAAAAGGTTGCATGCATATACGATTGCTTTCTGGTTTGGCTAAGATCAAGTGCAGTTGTGTAAAAAATGAAAAACTATTTCAAATGCTTTTAAAGGTTAAGGAGACTGTTGTTGATTTAAACATATACATGCAAACAAAAACAAAAACATCTGTAACTAGTTTTCCCATAGTACACGCTGGCCTCAAGAATTAGGTTTCGGAAGTCTGCATGATTCTAACGAAGTTTTCCTGAATGAACAACACAGCCTTTGCACAACAAACTGCTGAAGCGAGGAATGAGAATTTTTGTAGTACCTTTTTTTGGGAGATAAAAGCACTCTGAGAGCAATCAAGTTCCCATTCCTTTATTACAATGCATTACTTGAAAGCATGCTTTTCATGTGGCCATAAAGTGACCAGTTTCTAGATTCAAAAAACAATATATTCCACATATTTTACCTATACTTTTCACTACCTTTGCCTCCCACCAACTCTCTGAAGCAATAAACCTTCCTCCCTAATAAAAAAAAAATGTACCAACACTCAAAGGGGTTCCATAAGTTTGGGGAAAGTTTTGGCAGCTAGGGCAGGATTTTTCCTGTCTTGTCCTTATTTCATGTCATTTCTGCTTAAGGATAATGGAATAAATACCTAAGTCTACTCAACTGTAACAGGCGGCTGATGCTAAACAGGGGGAAAGTCTTTAAAACAAAACAAAAATGCAATGTGACAATCCATAAATAGGAGACATCATAAGGGAAATTAACAGAGTTTTCTAATTAGAAGGTCCAAAACTAGTCTCTGGCTCCCAAAGGAAAAACTCCAGCCTGGAGTTTATCAGTGGCAGAAGCGGAGCAACTTTGGGATCAGGGCTCCCAAGTAGCAACCAAAACATCCCGCCTGCAGGAGTCCACCGCCCCCGCCCTACCTGCCTGCGGGCTCATGCTCAATCTGGCAGAAGTCCTGCCGGCCTTACAGGTAGGGAGTAGCCGTCGCGCGCAAGAACAAGCGGGAGGGTCGGGAGTCAGTCGAGGCAGGGGCAGGACCCCGGGGAGTGAGTCTTAAGGGGTCCAAGGGGCGGAGAAAGGGGCCTAAGCTCTCACCCTTGTCGCACGCCAGCAAGAAAAGCTTCTCATTCAGGGTGTTCTCCTCCTTCACCTCCCGCACATCCTTCAGCGCCATCACTTCGTTGGGCGACGAGGAGGATGGGGAGGAAGGCAGGGAGGAGGAGGAGACGCCCGAGAGGTCCGTGCTCGGGTACAGGGCCGCCATCATCGCGGCCCACGACGGGGGCAGGCCAGGGGACGGAGGCGGGGCCCCCATGGGCGCCGACCCCGACCCCAGCCCCGCCCCAGAGCTGGAAAACGGGTGAGTCGTTCCCACGGCCACATCGGCGTGCGGCCCGTTGGCCCCGAAGGGCGTCGCCTCTCCCCGGAACCAGCACTCGCCCTCCACGGACAGCCCCAGGTTGGTGGCCGCGCCGGCGCGGCCCCGGGGCCA